GGGTGTGTATTTTTAATTATAAAATTTAAAGTTTAAAAAATAATTTACATCGAGCAAATTTAATTTGATTGTTTAATCCGCTCTAGATAAACTTTGTCGCGGTAAAATCAAAGCGTATACACATGGTGAAGTTCACCTTATTCTATTGATATACAAGTAAGGCGCACTGCAAAGCAAATGCCCAACTTGGATTGGATGAAGATTTTATAGGGCCCAAAACAAAATAAAAGTTTACCTTAAATTTTAGTCTACAAAGCCCTCCATGATCTTTAAAATTATTTCCAATAACTGTTGCAAGATTTGACACTAAAAAAATTTATAAATCTTGCTGATTTTTTAACACTTCTTAGCAGGTTGAAATGAATGGTTTAGATAATTTGTAACAATATACATTATTTTTAAAGTTTAAAATTTTAGTTTTTTTTATAACTATAATGTTCAAGCCGAGATGATCGATATAAACGTTTTTTTTATGCTTGAATTACAATTTCAATGAATTATGAATTGAAGCTTTATTTATTTTGATAGGGCTGCAGCCCTATCAAACCATTTTCCATTATAAAATTCAAAACTAAAAAAATGCAAAAAAAGCAAATCTGTAAATAATTTAAAATCTTAGAAATAGGCGATCCAGATAATATATTACAAAATGCACTACTTTCATGACTTAAAATCTTTTTTTTTTACATACATGCATACACCTTGTGGTTGGAAATCAATCTGAAGGTTTTTAGCATCTAAACAACATTTTTTAATGGATTTTTGAGGTGTGCCTTACTTCAATACTATAAAGTTGTTGCCCTTACGGTGTGTTTGATTTGTAGAAGACATAGTTTTAAAAATTGTGTCTTCTAGTACTGTAACAGTTTCCTGTTTGATAATGGAGAAGGTTTACAATAAAGAGGATACTGCAATATCCATTTACCTTATATTTGAGGTTGGAAAAAGGATGTCATTGATTCTATAGGAGATCATGAAACCTAAGGTATCCATTTCCCTATAAGATGTAATTTTCAAAAGCTAAGTCTTCAAAAAATCAAACATCAAACAAGCCCTTACTATCCATGTCGATGATTTTACCCAAGTTAAATGGTGATATTTTTTATAAATCCAAATTACTTGAAATTTGGAGTATGTGTACATCTTAGTAAGGCACACTTAATAAAAATATGAAAAAATAATTTGTAAAATATAAATTGATTAAAATACCCCCGTAACTTTTGGGGGGTATTTTGGTCAATTTATATTTTACGAATTATGTTTTTTCATATTTTTATTAGGTGTGCCTCAATAAGATGTACACATGCTCCAAATTTCAGATCATTCTGATTAGTAAAAACAAAGTGAAAATTAAAATACTACTGAACAACTGTGACCATGCGATGAAGTTTGGATGATGATGGTAGGCGAAATCACTGTTCATTTTTACCTATAGGCGTTTTGTAGTATCTTCCATATATATATATATATATATATATATATATAGGTCTATTTTGCAATCCCTTTAAAAATGAAATATCCACGGTAGAGCTGCAAAGGGCGGGCTGGGCTGGGCCGGGCCTTGGTTTTGGGAATGAAATAAGGCCTGCGGGCTAATAGGCCGAAATTATTTTTTGGACAGGCTGGGCATTTGCCCCAACACATCTATGGATAAAGTTTAAATAAGGTGTCAACCTTATAAAGTAAAAGTAAGACATGCCCCATAAAGTCTATTGGAAAAGGTTGTTCCGACTTTGGAAAACCCTATAATCTATCATTTTGCCTTAAAAATATGTAAATCTTGAAAATAAATGGATTTGAAGTCTTAAAAATAGTGTATTTTATAACACATTATCTTGACCATCCAATTTCAAGATTTTCAAGTGTTCACACATCTGCATCATATTTTAAATTTTAAATTTCATAGTTGGAGGTCAAAATAGATTTTCAGGCTGTCCTAAGAATTCCTAGCACCTAAATTGTATATTTCGACAAACTCTGGAGGTGCGCCTTAGTTTTACGTTATGCATATATAGACATGGTTTTGATGAGTCAGCCGACTCATCTAGTTTTGTGCATCTCCTTATGTATCAAATTCTAAAGAGGATAGGAGTCTGAATTATGCAAATCATGTCGCTAGGGGCACAAAAGACTGCGATGCAAATTGCGTTGATGAGGCCATTCTAGTACCACAAACAGCATAATTCCCTCCTATGACAGGATTTTGTATTCCCAATAATTTTGTGCTCCGACTAAATTACAAAATCTGCCCTAGCTAACCTATTCATTATTCCATTCTTTTCAAAAGTTTTTTTTCTCAAAAAGGGGTTTTTCATTAAAATTGAGTTTTAGAAAGAAAGGTGGTTTTAAAAAAAGGGGGAATTGCTTTCAAAAATGAGTTCTCAAAACACATTTCCAAATTCTTTGTTCTAGTTTTTGGAAAATGTTTTATGGTCAAATTGCTGACCACTTTTAAAGCAAAAATCTTCCTCAATCCACCATTTCATGAACCTAAACTGCAAACTATTTTCCAACCTCAAAATGTGTTTATCACTGTTCAACATAAAATAACTGGGTGTCTCCATCTCAAAAATCTACTTATCCATGTTCGACCTCTATATAAGAAACCTGTCTATCCCAGTTCGATATTAAATGGTCGGGTGCATGTGTCCTTTGCTGCATATGACATAGAAATGCTTAGAGGGCTCCATGATTCTATGAGCTTAAACCGATAGCCATTGTTTTCTTTGTTCTTCTTTTTTTTTTTTTCTTTTCTCAAAGTATCTCCTTTTTAAAAAAAAATTGAGTATTTAATAGTTTTGAAACCCCATCTCAAGGGTAATTTCAATTTGGGTGATTCCAAAATCTACAATATATGTTTTTAAAAATCTTAATTTCTTTCGTTAAAATTATAAGCCCAATACTGCGTTCCCTTTCAATTTTTTTTCCCTATTTTCAAAATTTGTAAAGTGTTTCCAAAACAAAGGAGTTGGGAAGCTCATAGATGATGTTACTGCTTTTTTCGCCCACTCTAAATTCTTGAAATAATGAGCTAGAAAATCCCTTAGAAAAGTCTTTCTAGTAGAAGCCTTCAAAATCCTTAATAGAGTTCTATAGATTTCTAAAGAGAAAAATAAGGAACCGATGAAGAACAAGCCAAGTTCAAATATCAAAATTAAGCCTAAATGAAATCTAAGATCAAATGACATGGTAGAAAAGTCTGGAGTCCAAGGGCAGTCCATCGTGGGACCATTCAACAAAGGGAAATTCTAAAAGAAAGGTTCAAGAGCTATTATAAATGGCCCTTCTTTAAAGTTGGTTGAAGAATAAAGCAATGTCAAAGAGGGGCCACCGTAGATACCCCTTTCGAAATTGGTTGTATTTCTAAGTCTCTTAGCATGAAATTAAAATCTAAGCCTTGGCAAAACCCTAAATCCTTGAGCCTCAGATAATTATTTCCTAAAACCCTAAGAAAAATAGCCTAAAAAAGCCTAATAAGCTATTGGGGACCATACTAGTACAATAAACCTTAGTGCACCCTCACCTATAGTCTTACACCCCAAACCATAGTCCTTAACTTCTGGAAAACTTTAAAAGATACCTATTAGTCTGAAATCCTTTAGGAATATCCATTAATTGATTTAGGATAGAAATAATCAGAACTCAAACAATATTAGATTTTCGACTGCACCAAAAATCCTAGGCTTAGGCACCTAAACCCTAGACATCTAATTCAACTTCAATCAACTTTAAACCTACAATAATTTCAGCAAATTCTTTCAAAGAAGGAGAAGGCAGAGTTATAAAGCAAATTGCAGTCTAATACTAGGTTCCAGGTTTCCCAGGCCAATAGGCCTAGCTTTGAAGGAGAAGGCAGAGTTATAAAGCAAATTGTAGTCTAATACTAGGTTCCAAGTTTCCCACGCCAATAGGCCTAGCTTTGGTAAGAAATCTTTTCTTTTGAGGTTACTTCTCTAAAATCACTTAAAAATATTTGTTTCAAAAGATTAGCTACCACTACCAATAATATGAAGAAGAATTGGTCTCTCAGGTTTAAGTCGTCTCCATATTGTAATTCAACTGCCCCGACGATTTTTATAAAATTTATTGATTTATCTAATTTAGAGCATAAACCAAAAGAGATTTCATGCAGAAATCTTCTTGGGATTTGATTGAAAATAGGTGTTAACCATAAAACAATGCATAATGTTTATTTTTAACATAAGATAAATCACAATCATTTTTAGTTGTCATATGATGAATGAGATAACAACAAGTGTCATTTGTTATGCACTTCAATAATTTCTTTATCAACTTTGTGTCCCATACTTTTGTGTATATAGGGTAGTTTTGAAAATTTTACTGATTATTAACTTTAATGGGGGAGTGGTCCGCTGCATTCCGTTTAGGACCTAAAGCCAAAGTCTTCGGCTATTTCGGCATAAGAGAAGAGGACTCAAAACATTGGTTAAGAACCCATGAGACCACCACACGCAAGCCCTTTGTACTTTGGGATTGAATAATATGAGACTTTTTTATTTTTGTTATAAAGAGATCACAATGTGAAATCCAATGAATAAAAGAGTTTTATTCCGACTTTTACGTCTGAGCAATGACACATCCTCAACCACCCGATTTCAAATCTAACAATCAATGATGATTTTGACCTCCTATCGAAAATAAATGATCTCATTATATACATTTCCTTGAACTTTTACTGGAAAATCAAAATCTATTAGAACCTAAACATTGCACCAAACCAATGGCTGAAGTATCTGCTTGAATCCCTAGTCAGAGGATACCTATGTCATGCTCCATGTTTTTTTTGCGTAGCTTTCCCAGCATAATTTGAACAGATCAACCGCTAGAAGTTGAATATATTCATTGATCATGACCTTAACTACCCAAGGCCAAGTAGACTGTTCTTTCTTTTACAAAGAAGAATCCAAATGAAAATAGTGACGACTTTGTAAGGACCAAGTTGAAGACAAATATATGTGCAACATAAAATCCAGAATTTATGCAATGCAGTAAAACCATGGTGATTTCTCATTTTCTTTCCAAACAAATGAACACAAAAGGTTTTAAAAGGGCGCCATGAAACCTTTTACATGATCAAAAACTCAAGCAGCCCCATCAAATAACTTGCATCTTAAATATATACAAAATGGTCACAATTTTAAAAAGCCAAATGTGTGAAAACTAGAGAGCATGACTTCACAGCAGACAAGCCTGTATCTTTCTGTAAATCATTTCAGAGTTTGTGGGGCATCCTCAAACTATGTTCTCTTCTATTCATGCAAAATACTTAAGCTGAAGATTTTAACAATCTCTCACAGAGACTGTTTGGTATTTTCAGGCTAGCTTCCAATGCCCAACACCTTTTCCACCAAGATTCTGTCAAGCAAGAGAAAATTACATGGGCTCAACCTCCACAGCATTTCAGGGCCTCAGCAGTGGCTGCATTCTGAATACCCAGGCATTCTGACACATTAGAACGATGTTAAATGCTTGGGAGACGTAAAGGACCTTTCCAAAATATCCATGTCAGGGAAATGGAGAAAAGGGAGCCAGATCCTCAAAATTTGTTTATTAGTTAACAATTCGTCTGGGTAGGCTTAAGTCAAAGTACCACTTATGGATGATGAGTTCTTGTGAGAAGCTATGCACACCTTCGTTCTCCAATCAGCACACCATAGCTGTAGAGATGATAAGGATATGCAATAGAAATGGCAACTACTGGTTCGAGTAACCAAAGTGTTTATCCCCCTCCAGTTAGCTCTGAATACTGAGCAAATTCTCCATAGGAAGACCACAATGCCTGACATCCACATGGGTATCCCTTGACTCTTTGGTACTTTGCGTCCATAGTGGGCTATGATCTTCTAACTTCAGCATGTTTTCAGAGCTCAATGAAGTATCAACCAGTCCTATGTTAACAACTCTCTTATCGACCGTAGTATCCAAATGATGCATTGCTTGAGGACATACAAAACCCTGAACAGAATATACTTCACAATTAGCTGAGTTTGAAGCTTTCTCTTGGAAAAATTCCATAGGGCTTTTGGAGACCACGTGATCATTGATAAATTTATAAGGCCCAAGGGTAGTGTTCTTTGGTCCAGATTCCTCAGTTATGAATCTATTATAAGCCCGACTTGAAGGATGTCCAATGCCAATTAAAGCACCATTGGAATCCATTGAACCAGACAAGTTCAACAAACTCTTAGGTTCCTGGATGTTGTTCCCCAGTTTACCAACATTAGCAGCATGCCTACTACCTGCACAAGATCACAGTGAGCAAAAAGAATGTGTGTTGAGGAACAATTTTTGAAATTCCAGACACAGTGACATAGGATGCTTCTAACTAATGAAGCTGCGCACCGGAAAAATATAATTTAAAGCAAGTTTGTGGACAATCACACTCCCTCAAACTAAGGGATCAAATCTTTTCGAAAGATGTAGCCCAGAAATTTAAAGGGAGAATACAAAGGTAAAATGCGAATTTCAATGCATTTTACCCTCCTCAACTCCCTAGTCGAGCGTGACCTCCATTTCTCTAGAATAATTTTGGTCCTTTATTTTGAGTACCAGACTCAGAAGAGTAAAATGGTCACAAGAAAAGAGCAACAGAACAAGGGACCAGTTTATATTTATGGGTTTTTGAGGCAGCTGCATAATATTTGCAGATGCCCAGGCACGATACACTAACTTTTCAAAGAGAAAAAAGGAATAACAAGTCCAATGACCATGTTAAAGAAAACCTTCTACCTTCTTGCATATCTTCTTTTGTGACCATGCATATGGACTTCTGCAGCAAAACAGTATCAGCAAAAATCATCATGTTTAACTTCCTCATTTCATTTTTGTGAGATGACTCTAAAGGTTTGAAAGAGAACACTTCTGTCCAGGTCTCCAGCAAGTCAGAAATTGCAGGAATTATAAGTGTCTCAACTTTTAGTGAAGATAACATCTGAAAACACAAGCAATTCATTAATACACACGCATAAATTAGGGGCATTTTCCACAAAGTCTAATTAGAAGAACCATGTTGTTAGGTAAACTTAAACACCAACATAGAAAGCATGAGAAAAAAGGAACAAAGAATAACAAGAGTGGGACCTTTAAGGCATAAACTTTGCATGATTTTCCAGATCAGAACCTTTAGGTCAAACGAGAATGGCAAGAACCTCAAAATTCAACTTCTAGGGCTTAGAAAGAAAGAGGAATGAATACTACTTTGACTTCCAAATAATGAAAACTAGAAGAAAAAATGTGTAAACTGCTTTATAGCTTTAGAACCTATAAAGCAAGGTTTATTTGATATTGCTTGGCTATGACAGTAAATTCATGTAGAAAATAATAGTTCATAGCAACAGATTCCTCAAACAAACAGCAACATACTCCATAAAGAATCGACACCCTATCCACATATGATGTAGCATATATTGATTAATTTACAATGCATGTATATCTTTCAAATGAGATACAACATTGCTCAAAGCACTGCACATTCGAGAAAGATGAGTTTTTCAAAAACTCGGAAAAGCATATTTTCATTTTTGGTAGAGGTATACATCAAGTTAAAATAAGGTTGCAACAGACTGGATTGATATATAAAAGTAGATGAACCCTACCTCATCAAGGCCCTGAAGTGCTAGCAACTTTTGCAAGGATGAAAAGTGTAACCAATTTACCTTTGGGATTGTCTACAAAGAGACCATTTATCTTTCGTACAAGAGGAGGTCACAACTATTCCCACTCATTAGATGTCCAATTGGATGGCTTGGGTTAGTCATGCAATCTGAGATATTTGTTTTTTTTCGAACTTTGTCCAATCAATGAGACTCTTACAACAACCCATTTTGAAATCTAAAGGACAAGAATAATTGTGACCTCCTTGTACAAGAGGTAAATGGTCTCTTTGTATACAATCCCTTTATCTTTTATAAAAATGACAAGCACTTTCGCAAATTACAATTAGGAAACATTTCCAGGAGGCCAAAACAGAATAAAAAAATAAAAAATAAAAATCTAGAGAGCTCAATAAAACCCTCAAATTTTTCACAGGAGGAGGAAATTTAACACTTTTCTATTTTCTTGTCCACTAAACATCCCAAAAAAGAATAAACACCAGATGATAGAACTACATTAGCAGCATTAAATAAGGATCCCACCACAAGTTGATAGGTCCCAAGAGATGTAAGAAATCATAACATAGAAGTTTCCAATGAAATGGAACTCTAAAATTCAAAATAAATTTCGTTATACAAAAATATAAATGGGTCATTTACCATCTTAATAAGGACAAGATCAAGGGAAATAAAATTTGAAGCGTTTGGTGCATGGCTATGGAAATCATTACTGCAAACCTTATGATGTCAATCTTCCGACTGTGTCTCATAAAGAAAAAAAAAACATTAAATTGTTGAATATAAACTAGCTCAACGAAATATAACATGAAATATCACATACGAGTGATCCAGAAGGTTTTAAGAAGAAGCCAAATAAATGGCTGCAAAGTATGCTAGGAAATACTACTCAAAGACAAGATCTGTACAAATCATAATTTTCAATGGCAATGAGAAGATGACGACATCTGAACAAATCATATAGTTTCAATGACGATTAATCCAAAAGGTTATAATAAGAAGCCAAATAAGTGTCTGCAAAGTATTACTATGAAATACTACTCAAAGACAAGATCTGAACAAATCATACATTTTCAATGGCGATGAGAAGACGACGGCACATGCCTCTTCTTCGATACATGGGTCTTGTTCCAATGAATGGCATCTCGGCCAGCTTTGTCCCGTGGAGCCTATAAAAATTTACAAAAATTCCAATTCTAGTGAATAAAAAGAGTAATGGTACGTTTAAATGTGGTGAAACAATCAATAAAATTATTCAAATAGAAACATAATATAGTCAAGCCAACCCTGTTCAGATCTATTTAATCTACAGGAAAAAAGAATTTCAAAGATTCAAGTTTAAAAATGAGGTTGAAAGTTCATGTCAATGAAACTACTTAGTACTTACCTATGGAAGGCCGAAATGTGTGGTACAAATCTTTAAAGGGATGTGGCAAGTTGGAAAACTTTTTAAGATTGATACACTGATTTGGTACAGATTCTAAGCTAACTTTGATGGTAACCATGACTATAGAATGGTGAACGGCAAAGGGAAGCTCCCCCTTTTACCCCAACCTTCTTCCATAGGGCCTCCACCCCTTTATCGCAACTACATCCATCTTCTCAGGCCCCTGTCATCCTCTCGTTCTGTGATACCCCCTGATCATCCATCCTCCTCTTGGCCAGCCCCCGGTCCAGTGAGCCCCCTTCTGCTGTCCCCTCTTCTGTCTCCTCTACCTCACCCCCATTTCGGTCTGACTGCCCTATTTTTCTTACCTCTCCATGCCATCCCACCTTCCAAGTCACCCCTCCGCCTTTTCTCTGCTTTGGTGGGTAACTTTCACCCCCGTAGAGATGATGTCCACGGATTAGAGAAATGGGGCCAGTCCTTTTGGCAAGAAGCGGAGTTGGCCTGCATACACCTCTCAAAAGGCCGCATCCTCTTCAACTTACCATCCCCAACTGGGGCCAACATGGCTCTATATTCCCAGCCACCTTCCAAAGGAGCAGCTCTCTCTCTGGCCTCTTGGTCCCCTTCCTTGGATGTCTGTGTGCCTCAGAAGTTCTGGTTGAGGATCGACCACATTCCCCTCCATGCTTGGCACAGGAACACATTCTCCTCTATCGGAGTAAACTTGTAGCAATCCATTGGAAGTCCTGCGAGTACCTTCCCCTCGACTCCATCCTTTTGTTGGTGGAAGTCTTGGATCCATCATCATTCCCTTCCTTCCTTTGGGTTTGTCAGGGGGGAGCTTTATTTCACCTAGCCCTATCCTGGAACCCTGCCTCCCCCAATGCTCAAGGGCAAGCCTCTTCCCTTAGCCCTTCATCCATGGCCAAAGACCTTGATGGATGGACCACGGTTCAACGCAAAACTAGAGCCCAGGCCGAGTGGAGCCCCCGTGGTCCTCAAGACCCCAAGACCCTGCCACACAAGACAACCTTCTCGCTCTCCAATGGTCCTCAAGCTCACCTCCCCCTCTGACCCCACCTGGCATGCTCACCCCTCCCTATTCATCCGCTCATATTCCTGTTGTCAATCCCGAGGATCGGTCTCCTATGTCACAGTACGATCCATCATCACCAATCCCCGACTCAAGGATTCAAATCTATCGACTGCACTGGCAATGAGAGCTTCGACCGCCATCCTTGGTCCCAATGCATCATAAGATTCCTGCTGCTTATCCAGATATCTCATAGTCGTACCCCGCCCTCCTCTAATTCTGGCCACGTGGCATCTTCCCCAATCATCTCCATGGTTCCTCCTACTCCCATCTTTTAAGAACCTTTTTCCTTCCCTCCACATTTCTCCCTCGTCCCACAAGCCAACCCCATCTTCCACTTCCCTAGCTTGCCTCGAGCCTCATCATTGCCTAACCCCCCCTCCCCCCCAAAAGAACCTTCCCGTCCTTCCCAAGCGTGTCCTTGCCCTCTCTGTGCCATTTGTCCTCACCCTCTCAGCCCCGCCTCTCCCCCCGCTTCCCCTCCCCCCCAAATCCACCTAGCCCCTTTGTCCTCCATCATCAATCCCCTTGTCACTTCTCCTCAGCCGCCCCCTCCATCATCGTCCCCTTCTCCTGAGGATCGTCAATCTCCCCCAATCCCCACCCCTGCACCCCTCCATGGATCCCCTCCCTGGTCGCCCGTTGCTTCCCCCTCCCTTTTGCCTACCCCCGCCCCCCCTCTCTCCTCCCTCTTCCCATCATCGCCAGGAGACTTCTTGCTTTCTCCTCTCAGTGCCCGCCTACCTTTGCTGGAAAACCTTCTCCCCCTTATCTCCCATGGAACGCCTGAATAGATCAAGACAAGCTGGTAACCCTCGCTGTCTCTTGTGGCTTCCCCATTGTCAATTGCGGCCCTCCCCCCCTCTCCCGCCTATTTCCATTCACGTCCCTTTATTCCCCCTTCACTTGGCCATTCCCCCTACCTTCAGTCCCCGGCCACCTCACCTCTCTTAGCCATCTCAACATCCCACCCCCCCCCTCTCTGGCCCATGTCCTTGTTCTTTCTCACCCCCCCCCCACAGTGTTCTTCAAAGTGGACCACCCAGCGCCTGGGCGGTCCAAAAGGCTTGGGCGCATCGCCCAAGCCTAGGCGGCCAAATTAGGCGGATATCCCTGGACACCCGCCTAGGCAGCCACTTAAACCCACCTAAGCAGCCACCCAGGCAGCCGTCCATGGCCTGCACCCCACCTAGGGGCAGAAATGCCGCTTGTTGAGGGCATTTTTGGGTCATATTTTTAATGCTAAAGGGGAAAATTTGGGGGGTTTAGGTTATTTGAAACCTAAAACCCATTAGAGCCTAATTTAGAGAAAAAAACCCCAAAACAATTTCTTTCTACTGGGGCACCCAAGTTCTAGGCACCTGGCTGGGCGTCAGCCTAGGAGCTGAGCGGTCTGGACCTCCCCTGGCCGCCTTGGCGCCACCTAGTGCTTTTTAAAACACTGCTGGCCCATTTATATTGCCTCATTTTGCCCTAATGCCTCCTCTCTGTCCCTCTCACCTTCCTCAGGCTCTCTCGCCCCCCTCTCCTGCTTCCCCTAAACTTCCTTGCCTTGAATCCCCGTCGTCCCCAACTATGACCTCGGTGCATTTACCCTTCCCCCCGTGAACCTCGACCCTCCCCCTCACCAGCCTTGCTGCTCCTCTACCCCCTGTAATCTTCCCTGTTTCCTTATCCCCCAACACGGCCAATGTGTGGGCCCCTCCTCCATCCTCGACACCCAGCGCAACAGCATCATCCTCAACCCTTTCCATGGATTCAAGCTTTGTAGCAGCTATGGACAGAACACAGGGTAACGCGGACCAAGTGTTGCGAGTCATCAGCTCCAAGTTCGATGGGTCCAAGGAAGATGTTAAAGCATTTTTCAAATCCAATGCTCAATCAAGATTCAAAGTCAGTACCAAGGCTCTCAAGCACTCACAAATCTCGCATGCGGGATAGATTATGACCATGGGATTACTCCCTCTTCCAACACCCCGACCTCTCCACGGGCCTCTCGAACCCATTGTCCCACTTAGACGGTTCTCCAGGAGATCCATTTCCCTCCCTAGACCATGAAAATCTTAGTATGGAACATCAGGGAGCTTGGCTCCACTCAGAAATCCCAGGCAATCTCAGACTTTTGTTCTAAACAACACTCCCCTTCGCTCTTGGCCTTAATAGAAACTAAGCTTTCTACACAATCTCTTCTCCAAGTAAGGAAGATGTGGGGTCGCAGACCTTGCCAATGGATTGCACTCCAAGCAAAAGGAGCGTCAGGAGGTGTATGGGTCATCTAGGATGCTTCCTCCCTTGTCCTCTTGGACTCATGGTGTGCATCCCACTCCATATTAATCTCCTTGTCTAGAATATCTGACGGCCTCCCCTGGAAATTCTCTACGGTGTATGGTCCAAACTTGGACCAAGCTCGATCTCTTCTTTGGCAAGAACGAGATGCCGCTGCCACTCGCCCACCTTTTCGACGGCATATCGGTAGTAACTTCAATGCCATGATTCAAAAAGCGAACCACCCAGCACCTAGGCGGTCCGGAAGGCCTGGGAGCATCGCCCAAGCCTAGGCGGCCAAACTAGGGAGCCGACCCTAGGCGGTAGAGAACCTACCTAGGCGGGCGCCCAGTGCCCAGCCCTGGGCGGCCGCCTATGGCCTACGCCCCACCCAAGGTGGAAATGGGTTTCGATGGGGGCATTTTTTGTCCATTTTTTTGCACTAAAGAGCCAAAATTTGGGGTTTTAGGTTCATTTGAAATCTAAAACTTATTGGAGCCCATTTTAGAGAGAGAAAGCCCCCAAAAAACTAGTTTTTGGTGAATTCTTTAATATCGAAAGGTTTCTCAAAGTTAACAACAAATGATCAAAACATCACCCATTGATACTAGATTTAATTTTTGATGTTTTACAAATCTATTGGGGGCTTTTTAGAAGATTTTGAGCCTTTAAAAGCATCTTTGAGGTGGAAGTTCGAAGATGGAGCAATCAAACTCAAAGTAAGTGATTTTTTTTATTGCTTTAGTAAATTGCATTATTTTTTAGATATCTTCTTCGGGATCTAATAGGAGTGGTGATCCCAGTTGGAAATATCGCTATAACCCAGATTCTAATGATAAAAAATGCATAAGATGCAAGTTTTGTGATAAGGATACAAAAAGGGGGCATAAACCGGTTCAAGAAACATCTTGCCGGAATCAGGGAGGATGTTGCCCCATGTAAAAAGACTCTTGATGTTGTTAAAGAGAAAATAAACAATTTCTTTAGTACGGTAAAAATGAAAAAAGATGAGAGATTTGCCTCTATAGCAGAGATTAGGTCTGCGGTTCGGGTCAATTATGATGATGATGATAGTGATGAAGATAGGATTGGGGAGGGATGCAAGAGGTTGAACAATCCATTATTAAGGGAAAGGGGAAGGGAGTTGTAATTGCTTCTGGTTCTAATTCTGGGACTAAGAAACCTTGGGTTAGAGACCCTATGGATAGTTTTCTACCTCGGCCTGACACTGAGGCTGCAAGAGAGAAAACAAAAAAGCAAACCACCATTGAAAATAGAATCAAGAAGGAAGAGAGAGATAGAGCTGCTTATTATCTTGCTACATGGTTTTATGAAGCGGGCATTCCTTTCAATACCGCTCACTTAAGCAGCTTCTATGTCGCGGTAGAGGCAATTGGCCAATTTGGCCCTGAGATGAAACC